CACGATGTGTGGTGCAGATTGGAATTGCATCAAAACGGTGCATGTTGAATAAACAAAACGAGGACGGATCGGTACAGAATGGGATTACCAGGCCAACCGATGTATATGCAAACAAAGTTAAATGATAATATAACGCAGGCGAAAAATGCGGCGTATTTTGAAAAGTCCCACCTTGCATAAACACCATAAAGCTCTTCGTTAGATGCTGAGTTATTCACAGATTTAAAAAAATGTGCTTGCTTTCCCAAAATTACCCATATTTTATTATATATCGTGCAGCCGAACCCCAAAAAACTTAAATCACATAAGAATTTCGGCCTTAGAATGAGCTTTTTTCGTACGCCTTTGAAAGCAGTTAATGTACCTAAAGCAACTTACTAAGTTTTACGCCTTTTCAAATTGATCTTCGGTAATCCTAAGAACTCTAACATATTCCATAGAAAGCATAAGCAAAACTACATGATTGTTCTCTTTTACATGAAAATAGCATTTTCGCTTAATCTTAGGTTGAAGCCCAAAACTCGCTTGTTTGTTTAACTAAACTTCATAATTATGTGATTTACAGGCCGCGAAATATCTATTTATAAGTCATGTCATTTATAAGTGCTGCCTTTGAAGTGTTCAACATGGTTCGCATGCACTGTAGCATGTTTTGAGTACTAATAATTTTGTATGAAAAGCAAATAGCAATGCACAATTCCTGTTCAATGAAGTGTATACAGTTTTCAGTATGGATAACCTAAATGAAACTGGAACGGCATGTTTGTTTAAAAATTATTCGGGAATTGAAAAAGGATTTTTAAAAAGCTGAAAGCAGCGTTCGCTCACACATAAAATGGCCAAATTCGTAATTTGCGCGTGTTTATTGCAAATTAGATTTGAATTCATAAGGACGTTGAACATCAAGTTAAAATTCCCACACTACTTAGAAAGTTATTAACGTGGTGTGGTTTTTTGAAGTAGGTGACGTGAAAGCAGCTCGTTCGAGAACTTTCATTTTGAAGTAACTAACATGTGTGGGGATAATGTTACACGACATAACTACATGTCCACCTGTGTCATATTTTAGAACGAGAACACATTTCTAAATTTTGGTTAACATTTAATGAGACAGTGCCTCTGCTGTATGCGCCAATCGTAGTTTCCATCCAAATTGAACTTCGATATGAACTTGACTGGTGGCAGAATGCAACTCTTAAAGCATAACTCAAAGACGTCAATGATAAAAACGGCCTGAAGCGTAAACCAGCAAAATACACGGAAGGCACAAAGAGGCAAACACTTAAGAACACAAGACAAATCAGCCGAACCCGAAAATTGGTACTGGGTGTTTGACACGGACAAGACGGCCATCCAGGAAATGACCAGCCTCCAGAACACCACCCTCGATAGTCTTCAGGTCAGCAAAGGTAACAAACGCGCAGACTGGTCTTTTGCCCTTGGCCTTACCGCCTAGCACCTTCGCTTTCCTGACTTTGCCAAATTTGGAGAAGTAATCTTTGAGGATGGCTGGCGTGATAGTGGGTGCCAAATTGGTCAGAAATACGGCCGGCTTGTTGCAGGCGGCTGTACTTGAATTAACGCTGCTGGACACTTTAGTCTCAATAATAGGGAGGGCAGCCTTCAGCTGGTCGCAATTTGGATCGTTATAGGTTGAAGATCTGCGCAGTTTATAAAAAAACAAATACACCCATAAGGCTGATTAGGTGGAAGATGGGGAACATATCTACTTTAAAAACAGGTTATGCGTTTTTAGGTATAAAAAACGGGATCATTGAATAATGAAAATTAGAGACATTTTAAAATACTTCGATGCATGGCATTCCAAAATGGAAGCCTAGCCTCCGGTAAAGGCTTTCTCTGATGCGCGGGTTCAAATCCCGCCAAACATGATTAAACTCATGGCGTGAAGCGGTCGTTTGTAGCTTAGCGGTAGAGCATATCCGGCAAAGGCTTTCTCTGATGCGCGGGTTCAAATCCCGCCAAACGCCTCGAGTTTTTTCACAATTGGGTCAACTCAAAAAAGGAAGCACTTTAGCCCCACAGTCCTGGTCGACAAACCTGTTAGCTGAAAGCGAGCACACGGCCGTGGTTTCTGTAGTGTCTGACACCGAAGGTGGATTGATTGTAGGCACAGGTGCTGACGTTAGCTCACTTGATTGCTGTAGAGCCTCGAGCCTTTTTAAAGGGAAAATAGGCGGACATGAATTAAAAGTGATTAAGACCAGAGCGTGCTGCTGTTTCCTGTGCAGAATTTCTGGAAAGGACCGCTGGCTGAAACATGCATAAAAATATCTTCTGTGATCAACACACACCTGGATTTTCAGTTTCATCCCAGCAGTTATAACAGATTGAACCCACAAGTATTCTTCAGCTATGCACACACCGACCCATCGTTGATATCTTGGTGGCAGACATTTGCACAGAAGGGGTTCATTGAGTGATTATCTCTCGGTTCTTTGGAAAATAGGAACAATCTATAATGACGAAGGGGATTCGTCACTATTCGAACGCAGCGGAACCATGTTTTAAGCACCATATCCACGCACAGCGAACGGTTATACATCAGGCTTGTCGAAACCACCGGCTTAGGGTAGACTTTTGAAGTTTGACGGAGTTCAGAATGGTGGTTACGGAGATCCGACCCATGGGCATGATGTCCGACGTACTGTATTACAGTAAGCGCCTTCATGAAAACCTGCGGTAAAATACTGCTGGCTACAACATATCATTATGCTTCTATTCAACAGCACCCCTGTCACTAGCGTTCTCTTCAACACAAATTAACATAGCATACAGTTTACTGTCAACATACCTGCTGAACTCAGCCTTCACATTTCAAGGATCAGCCACAAACGTTCATGGCGACTGAAGCCGATCCACGAGTGGACTGATCATCAGCTATTCATTGCCGCCAACGAGCATGTAGATAATATCAAGGCAAGCGACTCCCCAGATATGTTGAGTACTGTTTTATTGAACTGGCCTGCCAATCAGGCGCGGGTGGGCGCGCACATGTGTACGTGACTGAATAAGCTAAGGTCAACCGTGGGGACCGCCGTAAAGCCGAAGTACAGAGAACGCTGGCGCAGTTATTATCGGTCAACCGGAAGCAGCTGTGAGGTCAGGTCTCGAAGACGGGGGCGCCAGTGAAAGAAAACTTTGAAACGGTTGTTTGTGACGACACATGACCTTGGGGTCGCGGGCACTGGAGAACGAAGAGTGGACAGGCATTGTGACCGTCCGCCACAGAACTGTTTATTCCTTTGCGGGGAAGAGAGCCGGAAACTGTGCCCTATCCAATGCTCAGTTCACTAATTCTGCCAGCAGACGGAAGCCTACAGACTCCTGTACTTGCCATCGAAACAATCAAACACACAACAATATTCACCGTCTTTCCCCTGCAAGGTGGACATCAACACGCAGAGCGAAGCGACGCCGGTGTAACCATTTTCATCCGAACTGAAATCGTAAGACTTGTGCTCTACCGCTACAGGGCATCAACAGTCGACTGATGAACCTCCGCTTGTCTATTTGGAGAGACAAATTCGCCACCAGTCTCAGAGTTTCCTGCTCTCCCTTAGAAGGACTTAGCTAAGACAGTTGGTAAACAATCATACCCTTTACTGAAAACAGAATTCGACGCCGTTCCAAAGCATTGGGTAGGTGTTACGCGCTATCTGTTGTCACAAGTAAAGTTTCACCAAAACATAGCCATTAAATCAACAAACAACTCTTGCGAACAGGTCAATCAAACTGACAAGCAGACGCTCATGTGGTTTACTAGTCATTGCTAACTCAAATAAGCTCAACACTCCTGGTCGACAAACCTGTTAGAGGAGAGCGGCGATCCATCTGAGGTTTCCGTAGTGTCTGACCCCGAGGGCGAACAGGTCCTTGGGATGGTTTCTGACGTGTGCTCAGTCGGCTTCTGCACCGTCTCCAAACTGTTTACAAGAAAAAGAATCGGAAATAAGTTAAAATTGACTTAAACCAGAGCATGTTGCTGTTTACTGTCTGGAATGCCTTGAAAGAGCCATCGGCTTCACACAGAATAATAATTTTTCTTTTAGCATTTCTGATCTCAGGAAAAAGCTGGATCGACAGTTTTGATCCAAACCACCGGAATAAAAAGGGCAACGTAAGACAAATGGTGGCATAGTTGCCTTTCAATTGTAACCAAATGTGTTGAAGAAGAGTGAGTGGAACCAATAATCGGAACTTGAGGAATAGTAAAAAGAGCTAGAAGAATAGTGGAAATGTAGGACATTAGATAAATAAGGTCGAACAAAAAATAAAAGGATGCAGTTACAGGATGGATTTAACAGGCTAGAGTTCATTGTAGAACATAAACTGACAAACACTATGCAAAAGCTAATATTCTGACGGATGTAAAGGTTTCGGGATAGCGCGCACTCTACATAAAGGTATCAGGGATGATCATCATAATGATGTGCTTGCTCGATAAGTTTACCTAAAATTCAAATGGTTCAAATCGGGTCGAAAAGGTGGAACTGCATCTCAAACCAGCTGACAGTTGAAATTTTTACAAGTATGGTACTCTAATAAAATGTTTCAACTGTCCACAGAAGTAACTCTTGGCAAGGCAGGTGCAGGCTGATGCGGCAAGTTGCTGAAGCCTCAATCTGACTCATACAGAGTGCCACGGGAATTGTAAAGCGCATCGTTTTAAAATGCATGCTCGGAGTATAAATAACACAGGATAATCATCTGTTAAGTATCATTTCCGATCTCTGCAAATGGTTTGATTGTTAGTTTCATCCGGACCACAGGCGAAACAAGATGGGCAATTGGTGTCAGAGTTGCCTTGAATAGCAATCTGCTTGGAAGTGGCAAGGTACCGGGAACTTCTTCAGCATCCGGAGCATGGAGGCCCCCATTGGCGTCTCCACTACTAGAGTCCATGTTCTGCTTTTTGCGGACGACTGTCCTCTCAACACCACAATAAAAGTAGACATACAAAGGACTATAGCATTATTTGTCGCCGGTTGCCGAAACGTTGGCCTAACCATCAGCATGGTGTGCATGCATCAACCGCTGCCCGGCTCCACGGATCAATATCAACGGCACCAAGGTCAAAAATATGGACAACTTCATCTATCTCGCAACACCAGTATCGACGACTAGGTTGCTCACTGGATTTCCAAAACCCGTCATGCCTTTGGCCATCTTCAGACCGCCTG